TATTTCACTGCTGAGCATTTAATAGACTCATCGACTTTAAAGTCAGAAGGGACCATCACGATCATCTAGTCTGATCTCCTGCACACTGCTAACCCTATGCAGGCCACAGAACGTCACCCACCCACTCCTGAAATAGACCCCTAACCTCTGGCTGAGTTACTGAAGTCCTCAAATCAGGGTTTAAAAACTTCAAGTTACAGAAAATCACAATTTACACTAGTTTAAACTTGCAAGTGACCGGGGCCCCATGCTGCAGAGGAAGGTGAAACCTCTCCAGGGTCTCAGCCAGTCTGACATGGGCAAAAATTCCTTCCCGACCCCAAATATGATGATCAGTAGACCCTGAGCATGTGGCCATCTACTGTGCTATCTCACAAAGCCAAACTGCTTCCAACAGCTTTTCAGGTGCCTGAAGTCCCAGTTGTCCCTTGAAGAACTGCCAAACATTTCAGCTTTCCCCTGATAATTCTATAATACACTTATGCATTTTCAGTACAAATACTGCAACACAGTGAACATTAAAAATTTAGAGGCAGCAAAAAATAAATTGAATTTAATAAAAAATTAAATCAGCGGGTGTATTGTAGTGATTGTGCTATTCATGTTCATATTTAATTCAATAAAAACCTTCAGTTTTGAACCCTTTCTCAAGCTGCCACAGAATCTCCACTTTGCTGCGTCGGAGAACTGCAGAATTTAAGTCAAACTTGCTATGGAGTTGTCATGCTGTCTGGAGTGGCTCAAAACTCTGAGTGCCAATCTCAGGGTAGACATCCCACACTGGTGATATATTCTATAATTAGATTTCACCAGGCTTGTGTTCTCACCCAGACAAATGGGACTTTTGTGATAAAAGGGTATATAAAACAAAAATCATACCACATCAGGTTACTCCAAATCCCAAAGGATCAGTCACTTACCTCAAATCAATTAGTACTCTGGATCTTACACCAGAAACAACACTGGTGGCCAATTCTCTAGTAAACTATCTAAAGATTTGTTAGCTAAGAGAAATAAATGAGTTATTGGGAAGTGAAAGGAGTTGAAATACATTAACAGGTGAATCAAAGTTTGTAAATCCAAATGATAGCAGAGATGTAGTAATCTGCCAGTCTACAAAAGTATTTCAGGGTTACCCAGAATAACTCTGTGGATCTCTTTCTTGTTTAGTTAGTCGACCCTATTAGAATCCAAACAGTTCAGAAATGTAGTATCAATCCATGAATCCATATTTATAGCTTTTCCACACAGAAAGCAATCTGATAAGTGTCTTTACTCCTCCATGAACCCTTGCTTTGAAATTAGCATTTCCTGTTACAGCCATTAAGTCCTTCATTAGCATTTCCTAGGTTCCATCCACATTTGATGAGTTTAGTCACAGGGGTATACACAATGTAAAAGGAAAAGTAAGAGCAAACAACAATCCTTTTTAGTTTCCATGAAGTTTTAACACCTGACTAGGATCTTACATTAACACACCTTGGATCAGGGGTTATTTAATTACAGGGTATACATAATGTAGAAGTAATGTAATAGCAGACTTCAGGAGGTAAGTATCAGGGGGTAGCCGTGTTAGTCTGTATCCACAAAAACAACAAGGAGTCTGGTGGCACCTTAAAGACTAACAGATTTATTTGGGCATAAGGATTCGTGGGTAAAAAACCCACTTCTTCAGATGCATGGAGTGAAAGTTACAGATGCAGGCATTATATAATGACACATGAAGAGAAGGGAGTTACCTCACAAGTGGAGAACCAGAGTTGACAGGGCCAATTCAATCAGGGTGGATGTTGTCCACTCCTAATAATAGATGAGGAGGTGTCAATTCCAGGAGAGGCAAAGCTGCTTTTGTAATGAGCCAACCACTCCCAGTCCCTATTCAAGCCCAGATTAATGGTGTTAAATTTGCAAATGAATTTTAGTTCTGCTGTTTCTCTTTGAAGTCTATTTCTGAAGTTTTTTTGTTCAAGAATAGTTACTTTTAAATCTGTTATAGAATGTCCAGGGAGATTGAAATGTTCACCTACTGGCTTTTGTATGTTACCATTCCTGATGTCCGATTTATGTCCATTTATTCTTTTACGTAGGGACTGTCTGGTTTGGCCAATGTACATGGCAGAGGGGCATTGCTGGCACATAATGGCATATATAACATTAGTAGACGTGCAGGTGAATGAGCCCTTGATGGTGTGGCTGATGTGGTTGGGTCCTCTGATGGTGTTGCTAGAGTAGATATGGGAACAGAGTAGGCAACAAGGTTTGCTACAGGGATTGGTTCCTGGGTTGGTGTTTCTGTGGTGTGGTGTGTAGTTGCTGGTGAGTATTTGCTTCAGGTTGGGGGGTTGTCTGTAAGCGAGGACTGGCCTGCCTTCCAAGGTCTGTGAGAGTGAGGGATGCTTTTCCGGTATAGGTTGTAGATCATTGATAATGTGCTGGAGAGGTTTTAGCTGGGGGCTGTACGTGATGGCCAGTGGTGTTTTGTTATTTTCCTTGTTGGGCCTGTCCTGTAGTAGGTGATTTCTGGGTACCCGTCTCGCTCTGTCAATCTGTTTCCCCACTTCCCCAGGTGGGTACTGTAGTTTTAAGAATGCTTGATAAAGATCGTGTAGGTGTTTGTCTCTGTCTGAGGGATTGGAGCAAATTTGGTTGTATCTTAGGGCTTGGCTGTAGACAATGGATCATGTGATGTGTCCTGGATGGAAGCTGGAGGCATGTAGGTAAGTATAGCAGTCAGTAGGTTTCCAATATAGGGTGGTGTTTATGTGACCATCACTTATTTGCACTGTAGTGTCCAGGAAGTGGATCTCTTGTCTGGACTGGTCCAGGCTGAGGTTGATGGTGGGGTGGAAATTGTTGAAATCCAGGTGGAATTTTTCAAGGGCCTCCTTTCCGTGGGTCCATGTGATGAAGATGTCATCAATGTAGCGCAAGTAGAGGAGGGGTGCTAGGGGACAAGAGCTGAGGAAGCATTGTTCTAAGTCAGTCATAAAAATGTTGGCATACTGTGGGGCCATGTGGGTACCCATAGCAGGAGATAGACAAAAACAACACAATCAACAGCTCCTTTGAGCTCTATTAGCATACAAGTGAATTAGTTTGAACCCACACTAACACTTAACACTGCTTTGATATTCACATACAAATGAATTCCTAAGACTCTGGCATTCCCTGGCACTTGGCCTGTCAGTGTCACAGGATCACACAAGGTCTTTGATAGTTCCTCACAGTCTAAATCCACGCTGGAACAGCCACCATATGATTTGTTGTTGTGTCCTTATGTTTTCTCTGTAATAAACAGTTCATGTAAAATTTATCACTTACATCAAACTCGGCTTATTTAGTCTGAACTGATAAAACACAGAATTCTGAATATGTTTATTTTGTGTCATATATTTATCATCCTGGATCTTTGTAAGGATGCGACGTAGAATGATACTTCTCAGGCTGACTGACAGAAAATGCTGTGTGAGATGGAATAGTAGGGAGATGAAAGAAAAGACAAATAGGTGATGCTAGAATTTCAACAAAGACTACTTGTTCTTGCAGGATCAATCTTGTTTTGTAGTATGCATTGTTATTGCTTCAGTTCATTTTGGGGAACTTGTACTGTACGTGTGAGCTGTCTGATTTTGCTAAAGACAGGCTGCAGGTATACTGAAAGTTTTACTCAAACTGAGTGAATTCACCCAACATTGTATGGTAGGTCTCAGTTCAGCAGAGTCACTATGATTTAGGAAGAAGGAAGTGAATGATATGGGTCTTTGAATCCTTTATACAAGGTAGAACTGGGCACTGCTCCTCGTAGGCCAGGGCAGATGGACTGTTTGGGAGCAAACCAAGTGAGGAGCAGTGGTTCCATGATAATGCATAACCTGTAATCCTAAGTCTCCGTGGCTGGAGTGGCTACAACAAAGGGCCTATGCAACTTCTCCACACCCTGTGTCCTGATCAGGGGGCAGATATGGTTCTCCTCAACCTTTCCACCATTCCCTCACACGAAGCCCATTTTACTCAGGCTCTGTGCCAATATTGTATGAATTTCAGCTTGAGAGCCATGTTCTACTGTTACATTTCACATGCACAAATACCGCTGAAGTCAGAGGAAAATGTGGATGTTTATATGAGGGCAAAATTCAGCCCTAAGAATTAAAGGCATGTTAGATTTCTTCATTTCATTCGGAGATGCTGCACGTACATCTGACTCCTGAGACACAAAATCAGGGCAGCTTTCATGGGCTCTATTCCCTTGAGTGCAGAGACATAGTTGTACCTCATTTGACATATTCAGTTAGAGCCCAGTCCTGCAAGATGCTGAACACTTGCTGAGATGAGCTGAAATCCTCAAATCCCATCACCATTTGACTCTAAGGATGCTCAGCGTCTTACAGGATCACAATGGTCCATTTCAGAAACATTTGCAGAGTCAGTTTCAATTAGGCATATATTTGCAAAGATGCAAAAGATATCAGCTGTGTGGTTTTGGTACATTAGTTTTGCTTTAGTTTACATTATACCTGGATACAGTGAACACAAGACACAATATATGGTTGTTTTCTGTATTAGATATCAATTTTGTCACATAATGATTATAGTAATTAAATGAACCTTTCCTACAGTCAGTAACATTTAAGCCTAACATTTCCCATTTTAATTAAGTGCGTGTTTGTGCACATGTGTGTATAATTATTTTTCTTTCTTTATTTCATCTTTATCAGAGTTTCCTGTAATGCATTGGATTTAGATTATGTTAAAACTTACAAGGGCCTTTGATGAGAGAATAAATAAATCAGATTAAACCTACCTTTCTATAATGTGTTAGAGTGGTAGCGGTAAAAAGGGGGGAAAGGTCTATGTTCATGTTCTTTCTGGCATTGATAATAACAAACAAAAAAACAGAGTTTTATTTATACATTTCTAATTGTATTGGTGGGTGAATCATTGCCACATTGAATATATTTATTCACTGTTTGCTGAGGATACTCTTGTTTCTTTGTGTACAGAGAGTTTGGATGGAGAGATCCAGAACTTCCTGAAGTTATACAGATGTTACAGCATCAGTTCCCTTCAGTACAGTCCAATGCTGCAGCCTACTTGCAGCATCTCTGTTTTGGAGACAATAAAATAAAAGCAGAGGTAAGACACTTTGAAATTTTCTTTTAAAATGGCTTTGTCTGCTAATTACCACCAGAAATTTTGTATAATTACACCTCTACCCCGATATAACGCTGTCCTCGGGAGCCAAAAAAATCTTACCGCGTTATAGGTGAAACCGCTTTATATCGACCTTACTTGGCTCCACCAGAGTGCTCAGTCCCTTTCCCCCCCCCGCCCCCCCCCCCGCCCCCCGGAGTGCTGCTTTACCGCGTTATATCCGAATTCGTGTTATATCGGGTCGCGTTATATCGGGGTAGAGGTGTATTTAAAAAAGAGCTTCAAGGGAAATCATGTATATATGCATATAACCTGTATATTCGAGCTTTTAAATCATCATTACCATCACAGAAGGTGAGTTGCATAAAATGTTATTGAATCAGCCCCTTGGATGACTCATTTGTTTGGATTTGATTATTTTAAATTGAATGTGAGGTATTCAAATGTTCTGGTAGCCTAGGTGTCCAATAAGCAACTAATGGTATGATCTTGCTTCCACTGAAGTCATAGGAATTTTGCTTTTGATTTAAATTGAAGCAAGATTGGGGCCTAAATAAAAGAAAAAATTGAAATACATAAATAAATGTGTAACGTGGGCTACATTCCAAATAGAAACAAGAACACAAAACATGGGGCAGTAAAAAGGGTTCTGGGCCCAAACTCTGTTTTAATTTATACTAGTATAAATCAGGAGTAATTCTATTGAGTTGAATCGGAGATTTGCCTGAACAAGAAATTCAAGATTTGGCCCAAGGTTTTTAGCCTGCAAAAACCAAATGGATTATTTTATTATTTCACTCATTTTTTTGGAAATAATTCAAACAAAAATAAAAGCTGAAAAGCAGATGGGTCAGTACAATTTCTGTCTAAAACCTCACAAAAAACATAGGCCCAGATCCTCAGCCCTCGCTGGCCCATACTTGGCATTGGTGAGGGAGAGAGACCTTTGTGCTCCCTTGATCTCTGTGGCTGCTGGTAGCCAGCTCAGCTCCTGCCACAAATTTAAAACAGCCACAGAAGTGCTCTAAAATTATCCCAGTGCAGCACTGCTCCAAACCCTCCTTCCTCCACCATCCTCACCAGAAGAGCCCCCTATACGAGCTGTACTCCACCCTGGGATTCCTCCATACATGTGGAATTCCCAGGTGGGAAAGATTTTGCCAGAGCAGCCTAAAAGGATTGTATTGGTCCAGGAACTATCCTATGATTTTTTGAGATTCAAAAATAAATTATAGGAGAGTTAAAATAAAATATTTTTCTCTGTCTGAAAAGAGGTCCATAACTGCTATAAGCCTAGATGTACTCCCCCTCCCACACCCTTCTTACCCTTTTCTCTCATTCCATCTCCGCTGCTCAGTCTTTCATTAAAAGGATTGATTCATCTCTTCAGGTTTCCCAGAAAGACAGTTACATGATTATGGCAATTTATTCATTGTACAACCACTGCTTCCTCCTGTTAGTCATGGATGGGGAGCCCTTGGGCAGCTGCCCAACTGAAGGGAAGAAAGTTGTTTGTTTTGTTGCCAGCTGTGTATGGAAAATCCCTTAAGAGATAGGCTGTTGTAGGCCTGACCTGTCCGATTAGGACATCAGCCTTTGACTATAGTTTAAGCCTTCAGAGTAATGAGCTTGTTGTTCTTTGTATATGTGTATGTGTACTGATATAGGCATATAAGGTACCACAGTGCTCAGCACCACTCTTATATTTTGCTGCAAAAAAGGATAACAAATAAAATAAGAGATTTTGCTGGTGATGGTGGTGTGTTTTTCCCTTTATTGGTTCTTCCCCAGGCCCTTGATAGATTTCTACCTCTGCAACAAGCAAGATGCATTTGAGGGCAAGACAAAATCATTTTTGTAAAACAGTGCTCATGAGAATATGCTTTCAAACTGCTGCTGGTGGTGCTATAGATCTTGCTAACAACCAGTGGAATCTGTCTCCTTTTCTTTAGCTTTATGAAGAGTTTTTAACCTAAAGTATGCAAAGTCAGCAAACTCCTTATTAATGATAATATGTAAAAGTACCAGAAAATTCTTATTTATAGCACTCTGATTTCCTCGAATGAAAGGTGCTTTATGGGCATGTCTACAGTGCAGCTGGGAGAGAGCCTCCCAACCAGGCTAGACAGACTCATACTAACAGGGCTCAAGCTAGCACGCTAAAAATAACAGTGTGGACTCATAGACTCATACACTTAGGCTGCAGCTCAGACTGTCAACCCTACCTAAATCCCTAGGCTTGAGAACCTGAACTCCAACCCAAGCCTCAGTTTTCACACTGCTATTTTTAGTGCATTGGTGCCCATATTTAGTGCAAATATAGTGCCCATCTTTAAAAAAGGGAAGAAGGAGAACCCGGGGAACTACAGACCGGTCACCCTCATTTCAGTCCCTGGAAAAATCATGGAGCAGGTCCTCATGGAAACCATTTTGAAGCACTTGGAGGAAAGGGAGGTGATCAGGAACAGTCAATATGGATTCACCAAGGGCAAGTCATGCCTGACCAACCTGATTGCCTTCTATGATGAGATAACTGGCTCTGTGGATATGGGGAAAGCAGTGGACATGATATATCTTGACTTTAGCAAAGCTTTTGATACGGTCTCCCACAGTATTCTTGCCAGCAAGTTAAAAAAGTATGGATTTGATGAATGGACTATAAGGTGGATAGAAAGCTGGCTAGATTGTCGGGCTCAACAGGTAGTGATCAACGGCTCAATGTCTAGTTGGCAGCCGGTATCAAGCGAAGTGCCCCAGGGGTCGGTCCTGGGACTGGTTTTGTTCAACATCTTTATTAATGATCTGGATGATGGGATATGCTGGAGGGTAGGGATAGGGTCCAGAGTGACCTAGACAAATTGGAGGATTGGGCCAAAAGAAATCTGATGAGGTTCAACAAGGACAAGTGCAGAATCCTGCACTTAGGACAGAAGAATCCTATGCATTGCTACAGGCTGGGGACCAACTGGCTAAGCAGCAGTTCTGCAGAAAAGGACTTGGGGATCACAGTGGATGAGTCAGCAGTGTGCTCTTGTTGCCAAAGAGGCTAAAGGCATATTGGGCTGCATTGTAGGAGCATTGCCAGAAGATCGAGGGAAGTGATTATTCCCCTCTATTCGGCACTGGTGAGGCCACATGTGGAGTATTGCATCCAGCTTTGACCCCCCACTACAGAAAGCCTGTGGACTAATTGGAGAGAGTCCAGCGGAGGGCAATGAAAATTATCAGAGCGCTCGGGCACATGACTTACGAGGAGAGGCTGAGGGAACTGGGCTTGTTTAATCTGCAGAAGAGGAGAGTAAGGGGGATTTGATAGCAGCCTTCAACTACCTGAAGGGGGGTTCCAAAGAGGATGGAGTTTGGCTGTTCTCAGTGGTGGCAGATGACAGAACAAGAAGCAATGGTCTCAAGTTGCAGTGGGGGAGGTCTAGGTTGGATATTAGGAAACACTATTTCACTAGGAGGGTGGTGAAGCACTGGAATGGGTTACCTAGGGAGGTGGTGGAATCTCCATCCTTAGAGGTTTTTAAGGCTTGGCTTGACAAAGCCCTGGCTGGGATTATTTATTTGGGGTTGGTCCTGCTTTGAGCAGGGGGTTGGACTAGATGACCTCCTGAGCTCTCTTCCAACCCTAATCTTCTATGATTCTAAGCCTCTCTGTCTGGGTTGAGAGGCTTGTTCCCAGCTGCAGTATGGACATATCCTATAAGATCCTGATTCAGCAAAGCACCTAAGCACAAACTAGGTGTGTGTTTTAGACTCGAGACTTTGCCTGAATTGGGGATGGGATTATTCTGGTGCTTAGAATTAAGTATATGCTTAAGTACTTTGCTGAATCAGTGTCTTATAGATCACCTTTCCCTGGAGGAACTCAAAGTGCTATAAATAAGACTATATATTACTTCAGATCTCAGGCTCCAATTTGGCAAGTTTCCTAATTGTGCCTATCTATAAGAACATGAGTAGTCCCACTGATTTATTTGGGATTAATCATGTGCTTACAGTTAGGGTATGTCTACACTTACAACACTACAGTGGCACAGTTGCACTGTTGCAGCCATCGGCATAGGTAATCCTCCTCCCCAGGAGGTGTTAGCAGGGTCAACTGAAGAATTCTTGCAACAACCTAGCACAGACTATACAAGGACTTAGGTCTGCTTAACTTTGCCACTCTGGGGTGTGGATTTTTCACAGCCCTGTGTGATGTAGTTATGCCAACCTAATTTTCTAGTGTAGACCACGCTTTAGGTGTGCATATAAGTAGCTTGCTGAATCCAGACCTAAACAAGGGTACCTGAGAACAGAATTGGACTCTTTCATCCTCTCCAGATATAATGCATTTGTATTCTTTCAGATGATTGTAGAACTTGTTTTCCCTGTCTAAATTTCTTGCCTGTTGAATTAGCCAGGATTAGCTGCATGGTTCTGTACAGTTACAAGGAAATGGAAAGGTTTCAGTGGAGTATGCAGGAGAAAGAAGGGCACAGACAGAAAATGATTTTCACTCTACAACTTGCAACATCTTTGGAATTAATGGTTTAAGACTTTGGATCCCCAAATATAATGCAAGAAAACCAAATTCAACACAAATCCAAATCCATTGAAAAGTAGAAAATTACTACTCTACTTTATTAAATAAATAGGTTTAAAGAGGGGCAAATGGCTTGTGTTGCAGTAGCAAGAAGATGGCCCAGGTGGTGTTTGGGGATTTTGAGAAGGGAGTGGGTAAGGGAAAATATGAATGAAGGAGGTGATTATTTATGACTCCTGGTAAACTGCATGGAGAAGGTGAGTTCATAAAGGCTTACTGATTAATTTCTAAGGTTTGTTATTATTTTTAATGTGTATGTCCCCAGAGCATTGTATGGGCATATCTAAAACAAAACAAAAAATGAATCCAAAGAATGAGTGGATGTAATTCTATGGCCTGTGCTATGCAGGAGGCCAGACTTAGGTTATCATAATGGCCCCTTTGACCTCAA